AACGCTGTTTTCGCGGTGTTACTCGCCTGGTTACAGCGAAAGCCTTTCCCCGCTGTTTTCCCTCTGTCCCAGTGCCTGCGTATGAGGAGGCCGGGGAGAGGGGAGACGCTGGCCAGGTATCTTCCCGAGGAGGCACCCATAGAATCATTATGGCTGGACAAGACCTTCAAGCTCACCAAGTCCAACCGTAAACCCATCATCACCCTGCCTGCTAAACCACATCCGCGTGCCTCAGCTACACATTCCTTGAACACTGCCGGGGACAGCAACTCCATCACTGCCCTGGGCAGCCTGTTCCAATGCTTCGCCACTCTTTCTGTGTAGATTTTTTTCCTAATATCCAGCCTGAACCTCCCCGACACAACTTCGGGCCATTTTCTTTTGACAGGTTTCTCACATGAGGCCAAAATAATAGAGAAAAGTTGTGCTCATACCGGTGCAAAACTCAGCATGAGAGCTCCTCACAACCACCCGAACTTGCCAGGGCATCCGCGCCAAGACACGCTTACAACGCAGGGCCCATCTTGTGTGTGCTCCCTGGTAGACCCTTGTAGGGATAATCTGATAGATTTTCTTGCACCTAGGGCCTTTCCCTTGGCCTCATCATTCTTCTGGCGCCTCTTAGTTAAGGTCCATCTGACCATCACTAGACACCAGGATTAACCCTCCAGTGAGATGCAATACCTGTATATGCAGTGTTGTACTCTCAGATAATATTAAGTGTATCAAATTTGCTGTGTTAAGCACACCAACATTAGGAAACACCAGAATTCAGGATGCCAATATACCCTTTCACCTAGCATGGAAGCTAATGGAAATAACAAGGAATTATCCTATGTGTTCCCTGGTCGCTAAAGGGGAATAATACATTTTGCCAGGGAGTTTCGCAGGCATTTACTGACTAGAGCACTTTATATACCCACATTTGTTCCATCGGCACATTAAATGAATTAAATTTATTTTTTTTTTTATCCTTTTCTCCCCAGAGGCAAATTGTATATATTGGAGTGTTCTACCTACAAATGTAAAACACGCATGTGCTTTAATCCCCTTTTCCCTCCTTATATCTTTCCATGGCCTGGGGACTCAGGAGTCCCCGTTGTGGGTCCTGAAACGCAGGGTGCTCCCAACAAGTAGTTCTTGCAATGCGCCACTATCCTGACAGCACGAACTTAATTTATCACTGAAATTATTCAACAAGCCAAAGACAGGGAAGTTAATAGACAGCTCTCTCCACAGTACAACAAATTTTAGCCAATTAGTCATTGCACCACAACTGTGGAGTAGATTAATTTAGCTCTTCTCATTTTACATAGGAAGGAGGCAGAAAGGTTAGGGGACTGGCCCAAGGCCACAAAGAGCAGCACTCCGAGAGCTGAGCCTAGAAAGCAAACTTCTTGTTTCCCACGCCTACGTTTCAACAACTAGACTTGGCTTGCCTACCTCAGAAATAGTCTGGCATAGCTCTAGCTGTGTAATTATACCATAGCAGTTCTGCTGGAATACGGCTCCTCATGGACATCCTCCTCCAGAAGGAAAGCGACTTCCCCTGAGCTCTCCGTATGAAATCACTCGATAGCAAGCTCTTAGGTTTCTCTGTTTCTCATTTTGGAGTTCGGCCTTCCCAAAGTGGGAGTC